CCCCAAAACCCCAAAACCCCAAAACCCCAAAACCCCTACTCTGAACTTCCTTATAGAAAATAATAATTTTTAATCACCATCCATGTTTACTAAAAGGTGTCTGTCAAATCTAAAGCTTCAGAAGCATCTTAGCATTTCAAGATTTTCAACAACTACAAACCCAGTAAGTCTGATGACTGACCTGATAGCCTCCGAAGGATTTACTTGAATTATTGTTCACAAAAATAGTAAAAGAAAGAAAATCTCCATGTTTTGAAGTTTATGGGTCCCAAATTGAGATCCTCACTTCCCCTGAGGACTACTATCTAGCTTTGCACAAGTTGGCATTAGAGTCCCAGTTCAGGATAAACATGAGTGCGCTGTACCTTGGCACTGGCACTAAAGAGCTCTTCTTTCTTGAAAGAATCTCAAGAAGATTAGAAGAGAATCCTGAGATTAAAGTAAATCTTTAGTATAATTTCAGTTCAATATGATTTTGGATTATTCCAGAGGGAGAAGAATTGACAAAGAAGGTATGCACTTGGACTAAAGTTTAGGCAAAAGCAGTGAAAATATGCTTCTAAGCCTTTTAAAGGCTAATTTTTCTCACAAATTCTTAAGAGCAGCACTTTTTAAGCAACCAAGTTGGATGCCTCGAGCAGATACAGGGCCAATCCGAATGCTTTCTGAGGTTTTAGGAGTTCATCATATGAAAGCACATGTATTTGATAATAATGTATTGATAACTGGAGCTAATTTATCTGAAGATTATTTTACCAATAGGCAAGATAGATGCTATATAATCAGGCAAAGTCCAAGAGTTGCAGATTATTTCGATGACTTATTAAATGCTCTATCAAATTGATCTTATCATATATGAGCTGGAGAACCAAAAGTCCAGAAGTTTTACCCGGAAGTATCCAATAAGAACAAGTTCAAGAATACCCTTGCGCATCACCTTAAGCTCTTCAGATGGGCTCAGAAGACAGATATTCCTGTTGGCAAAGAGCTAGAATGTGATGAGTTTTTCAATGGGGAACAGCAAGGCCATCCCCACGCACTCCTGAGTTATGGTAATATTACTTTGACATAATTTAGATGGCCAGGATCAGGACTTGAAAGAAGTGTTTCTTCCTTTCTCAACATATAGACAGTTCCAAAGCACAAGAAACCTCAAAAAGATGTAGAAGAAGAAGCAAACGAGTTCTCTAAAGATTCAAAGCAAGAGGATAAATAAAAAGGTGAGAGACCTTATTCAGAAAGTCAACGCTTTCTCATCTCAAAAATCAGAACCAAGGAAGAAAGGTAACTCTTAAAGCTCATCTCTAGGGGATCTTGGTGGCAGAGTCTTCATATTTCCTGCTTTGCAGTTCAATATGGTCAACATCCGGGAGGACGAAGAGCTATTTGTTCAGATTCTTGAACACCTCACTAAAAAGGAAGGAGCAAAGATAGATTTTTGTTCTGGATATCTTAATATTATGGACTCATATCTGAACCCAATTAAAAGTTCAAAGGCAGAAGTTAACCTCCTAACTGCAGCACCTAGCGCCAATGGCTTCTATAAAGCAGGATTTGTGAAGAAGTGGATCCCTTATTTTTACAGAGAATATGAGAAAAGAATCCTTAAGAAGTCTAAAGGGAATGATAGCGTGAAGCTTTATGAGTACCAAAGGAAAAACTGGACATACCATGCTAAAGGAGCTTGGTTCTATGAGAAAGGCAATGACCCTAATCTCACTGTTATTGGGAGTAGGTTTTTGTGGCAATTTTTAAAGGGATACACATGGCTTATTGTTTTGAAGTGTTTTAAGGCCTGCAAAGGATTTTGAAGCCTGAAGTTTGGAAATTTCAAAAATAAACCTGATTTCTGTACAATATGGATTTTTTGCGCTACTTGTTTGTTTTGTTAATTAAACATTTATAGGCAGCAATTACAGTTATAGATCTAACAGGAGAGATACTGAGGCTCAACTGTATATCTATTCTCAATGAGATGACTTAAACGCTAGAATGAAGGAAGAAGCTGAGCAAATGTTTAGTTCTGCCCAAAGAGTTACTCTAGATGATATTAAAAAGGACAAGGATGTAAAATTGGGATCAAGGACATATTTCCTCTCCAAAAGGCTGAAAACCTTGTTCTAATCAGTATAGCATAATAGAAAATTCTCATTGGTCTTCCAGAAATATCATCAGTAGGGATCTATTATTTTAAATTGGGCTACACAATTTTAAGCTTCCATTAGGGGTTTTGGGGTTTTGGGGTTTTGGGGTTTTGGGG